GAAGTACTTAAACTGTTGTCATAGTCTAAAGAATTTTCTCAAGTCTAAAGAATTTTATGTGAAGAACCGACATTGCTATTCGTTGTCCTAATTAGAGCAAAGAAAACGGATGGATGACGCAGATCGCGGGGAGAAGAACTGGCGTTCTTTGCGGAGAGGAAGCACGAAGACAGAGACAAGATGGCCGCGTTGCTCCTCTTTCGTCGGCTCGTTTGCTCTAAGGCAAACAAACTCTTCCTGAGAATTCGTGGTCTACAGCATCCACCGTGTGGTCTAACATCCCCGGCCATAATTTCTCTAATGTTCAATTTGGTTGATAAATAAATTATTGACAGACTAGATCTACCTGCTCTCTGTCTTCTTTCTCCGACACAACGTAATTCAAGAAAAACAAAGCTTTCACAATCTTCTTTAAAAATTAAATTTCAATAGATGATTGTTACGAACTCAAAAAGAATTCACTTTTTAAAATTCTCTACGCGAATTAGCGTAATGGGTTGAAGATAAACTCCTTTCTGGTAATTCAGAGAAGATTCCATAGAAGTAAACTTTCTCACTTCGTACACAGTAAAAAATTGTGTGTTTAAATGTAAAAATTTTCTTGTATTACCGAGATTTGATTGTTATTTCAATGTAAAATTAACATAAACAGATATGTTATTATTTTCGTAACACTTTTATGTGTTATATTTATGTTAACATAATAACTTGATACTTTATGTATGTCATTTGAAAATTGAATATTATTTTGAGTTCTTTTATCACAACTATTTTTCAAAATCAACCAAAACATGTAATATCGACATTTCTGAAAAATTATTTCTGTCTGTTCTTATTACAATCATACTATAAGTTAAAAGAGCATAAACATAAATGTGAAGTATAGTGTTAATTAATTAATTTGTCATTGATGTTTTGTCAAAAAGTACTAACACACACGATGAATGTTATTTTAACTTAAAATTTAGAGTGGACTTTTTGGGACATGTGTAAAATGTTAATATTAACATTTAATTTGTTACTGTGGAAGTAAATTGAAGATGTTTTGAATAGAATTCCTCTTGTATCCGAAAAAAAATTAAAAATTAATAACAGAAAAACGAATATTTTTTGTATTTTCAATAATGTTTTTAGAATAGAAACGGAAAAACAATTCATTTCATAATTCGGGAGTTTAAAAATAATTCTTTTGGATTCTCTGTACTATCTGGAATATCCATTATTGCTGCAATCGAGCACGAGAGATTTTTATTGCAAAAAGTAAAAGTTTCTAAATGAAAAATTAATTTTTCACATGGTAGGCGATTATTATCAGTTATCAATAATCGAGTATTACACATCAATTTTGTGAAAGTTGATTTATCTGGATTGTTATAATGTCATAATATCTCTGCCTTTTCTTTCAGCGGGTGCATTCTCTCTCGAAGGGGGAGGGAGGGGGAGAGGACACGCAGGGAACTCTCGTATTTTACGAGTAAAATTTCCCTTTTACGACCTCTCGAAAGTGACATCCCTTCGAGACCAGCTTCTCAAGGATCGCAATAAAGTGAAGCACGTGGAACGGAGCGTCGTGATAAGGCATGAATTCTCCTTCTGTCATTGTTGGTCATTCGATATTCGGTCACGCGTGAAGGCGGATAAACATTTCGTCCCGAACGATCGGTATTGACCCTTCGATCACTGACGTTCTCTTTATCGAGTGACGATTGCCTGATGACCATATCGCGTTAAACGCAGCAATAACTCTGCCAGAACATTATTTCTAGTCTTCACAGTTAATTATTATTATACCATAATCACACAGACCAGAAAGGCAAAGTACTCTCTAAAAATCAATTAGTGAATTATCACTGAAAACAGTGAATAGCCACTGATTTGCAGTTATAAGTATACTACTGAAAATTGCAGTGGTATACTTATAACTGTAAATCAGTGGCTATTCACTGTTTTTAGTGATAAGCCACTGATTGACTTTTGGAGAGGATTTTCTCTTAAAATTTAGCCTGAAGACATGATCTTCCGTGCACATGAAGATTATGTCTTCAAGCTAAATTTTAAGAGAAAATCCTCTCCGTGCACATGTACTCGTACTTTGCCTTTCTGGTCTGTGTGATTACGATATAATAATAATAATAAACTATGAAGACTAGAAATAATTTTCTGACAGAGTTATTACTGCGTTTACATGATTTTCAGGTTAAATTTTAAGAAAAAATTCTATCGTGTGACGATTTTTATCCGGGATTTTAAAAGAAAAAGAATCCAGTTCAGTGCCTGAATGCAGTGTTTTTTTGTTTAACAAACTCATTTATTTCGATATTAAAAGCAAACATACATCAATCAAAGTATTTGCCCTCGCTAGCTATACGTTTTTCCCATCTTTCTGGCAATGAGTGGATTCCGCAACGATAGAACGATTGGTCTTTTGATGCAATCCATTCATCGATCCACTTTCGCACATTCTCGTAATTTTTTAAGTGTGTATCCACCAAGTCGTGCTGCAGCGATCGGAACAAGTGATAATCTGAAGGAGCCAAGTCCGGTGAATATCCTGGGTGCGGGAGAACTTCCCAGTCGAGCTGCATCAGTGTTTCCTTGACGGCTTTTGCAACGTGTGGTCGAGCGAGAATAACTTCTTTTTCTTTTGAATCTTTCCCATTGCATGTAGACATTAGGAAACAGCCATCGGAGTAACATTTAACGCTGCAGGCAATTTTTGGAGTGTTTGAGCTGAGTTTTCGTCCAATAATGCTTGCAATTCAGTGCCTTCAAACTTTTTCGGCAGACCTGAGCGTTGTTTATCTGTTTATCATTCACATTAAAATCACCACTTTTAAATCGCTAAAACCATTCTTGGCATGTTCTTTCCGATGGAGCACAATTGCCATAAGCTTCGACAAGTAATTTATGAGCTGTGGCTGCAGTTTTTTTGTCAAATCAAAGTAACGAAGCAGCACATGTCGAAAAAACGACTTATCACGTTCCATGTTTATAAATCTTTTCGCACTGAATTTTATTGATAAATGTTTAACTTTTAAAACGCAGCCAGTTTCAGATGTCAAAATAAATTACACTTACAACTAGCGGCATCTAAATGTGAGTCGCGGAAACTAAGTTTACCACTTAATATTTAAAAATATCATTTTGATTTGTCAGTATCTATTGTATTTTGAAATAACATAACGTTTTAAATTGTCAAATCCTCGCCCTTTGGAAGAATCCCAGATGGTTCAGTTAACTATCTTCTTCTGAATAAAACATGGAAAATTAAATTTTAAGAAAGAAGCGTCAATCTAAATTACATGTTAAATCGACAGGTTAACAACTAATAAATAAATAACTTGAAGTTTTCATCGAATTAAACGGATTTGCTTTATAGCAACGGTACGTTGGTTCCGGATTTGAAGAAAATCGGCACAGAAGATCTTTGCCGTTTCGCGACGACGACTCTGTTGTAAGGCGGTTCTATGGACGGGCGGAGCAAACTCCGCAGCATCCCGTTGGCTAAGAAACGGACCAATAGCCTCCCCTCATATCTTCGCGCCGTATGCATTCGCGGCTGTGCATCGCGCGGTTCCGAAGACGGATACATTACTCATCGTACACGGATAGCGATAGCCGACGAAGCAATACTCACTTGCGATTTTCAAGCAAACTAAGTACGATCCGCTTGTGTAAAGGGTATCTCGGCGAGCGCTTCGTTTACACCGTCGTGGGAATTTTCATTTACGTCAATAAACTGGTATCAAATACTCAAATACGTTCGCAATATCCTGAAATTAACGTGTACACCCACGAATACTTTAATCGATCTGGAGTTGATTTTTCCTCAATGGAAACATCAACAAGTTTTTTTTTAAATAGGTCTTCAGTTATCACGGCTGGACATTTCGGCAAAATATAAATAAGCCAATGGAAATCTTAAATGTAAAATTTGAAATTCAAGTGAAACTTCATCACAGACTTTTAATTTGAGAATTACGAAGGTATTTATAGGCCTTAAAGAGCGATTTCGATATTTTCGCAAACAACATTGATTAAATACTATAAAGTACAAGTTTGTCAAAATGGATGTAGTTCAATGCGTCTTTTGACCCGTCATCGTCCACTAGAGCGACAGCATCCCGGCCATGATTTTTCTTCGCGTGCAATTATCATGGTGGAGCCATAGAACTGTCAGATTAACGTAATAACGATTTCTTAGAATATCTACAGTTTTCGTGACATTCTTCAGACGGCTCTCAGACATCTTCTGAAAGCTTTGCAGTAGTAATTCCCTCCACATTAGCATTAGAAGGAGAAAGATAAACTCTGAACTAGTGCGGCCAATTCAGCTATAAAGGACAGACCCTTATAGCGAATTTATAGTCAATTTTTATATTCAACTTTGTCTTGAATATATGTTCAGAGTATCTAGTCAAAAAAAGTTCCGTGTGGATGCTGTACAGGTCATTTTATTGGCTGCGAAATGTTTCAAGAAACATTTGAGATGATTCTTTAATATAAAAACTGACTGTAAACGAGCCTTAGTGTGCACTCAGTGCGCACTAGCGCAAGCAACCGAATTTGCCTATTAGATACACCTTCACTTCGCTTGAAGCGAAGATCAGATCCTGCCCGAATTTTCTTGCAGCACCGAGGATAATTCTTACGAGGATAACGTCCCTGTAATAATTGTAACAGAACGCAATAACCATGGGTCCGGCGAGTCCGAATAACGCCATTGCGCAATTCACTTCCCCATAATTCCGTGACGACCGAAGGAGAAGACGTTGGAGCCAAGGGCGGTTCGGGGCGCCATTGGGCGCAGCATCCGGCCTTTCGCGTGGGACACGAGCCCACGGCCAATCCGGGTCCCGGGTGGCCGACTTGCTCCGGGACCGCCCACGTGGGGGGACGCCCGTTTCTGACCCTGTCACGCCGCGATCAACGTCATCCGCGGTCCAGATTCCGCTCCCGTGCCGTGCGAGGCGAGCGGCAGTCATCCGAAAACACTTAGCGGCGCATCATAGCGACTCGGGGCCCCGACGTAAGCCTGTTACGCGCCGACGAAGCGAGTCTAAATAATTGACCCCTCCGCGGCGGAATCGCGCAAACAATTTACATCCGACCGTGTAAATATCCGCGACCTCGGCGTCGCGCTTACTGGAAGGCGGCGAAGGTCCCCCTTCGGGTGACGGGGGTCGTTGCTCCGCGGAACGACGGGATCGGCTTGATGTTGGTTTTCGCGTAAAGCACATCGCGTGCCGATAATTACGCCGTTCTTGTTTTCTCTTTTTTTTTGGTGGAATCTTCTGTGTCAGCGCCGCGCGTCATTCGAAGGGATCATCGCCGAGCGTGGTGCGTTCGAGGATTGTGGTACTTGTCTTATCGCGCCGTGGAAATCCGAAGGATACACTCGCGCGTAGAATGTACGCCGCGGGCGGGCTTTGACGGTCGGGTACCAGGAGCTCTCGATGGACCAGAGCGTGATCGTGCCGTCGGTGCGCCGCGACGCCGGCGCCGACGCCGACAGCGTGCGGCTGAGCATGAAGAACGAGTCCGACGCCAGCGGCCTGCACCACCAGCAGGAGCACACGGTGGTCGTGCACCCGAACCCGCCGACGGTGGCCGCGCGATCGGCGGTGCTGCCGATGAGCGCGGGCAGTTTGCCCCAGGAGACGAGCCTGGAGCCGCTCATGTGCAATTCGACAACTAGCGAGATTCAGGCGAGGAAACCAGGCGCGCGGCGCCAGGAGAAGCCGCCGTACTCGTACATCGCGCTGATCGTGATGGCGATCCAGTCGAGTCCGGGCAAGAGGCTGACCCTCTCGGAGATTTATTCGTTTCTGCAGCAGCGCTTCCCATTTTTCCGCGGCACCTACCAGGGCTGGAAGAACTCGGTGCGCCACAATCTCAGCCTGAACGAGTGCTTCATCAAGCTGCCCAAGGGCCTGGGCCGGCCCGGCAAAGGTCACTACTGGACCATCGACCCGTCCACCGAGTACATGTTCGAAGAGGGTAGTTTTCGGCGGCGGCCGCGCGGCTTTCGGCGCAAGTGTCAGGCGTTGAAGCCGCAGTACCATCCGCAATATTATTCGGGCGCCGGGCCCGGGGTCGGCGTGCAGGCGCCCGGCCCCTACGAGAATCTGACCACCGGACCCGGCGGCATCGAGTACGCGAACGGCTACCAGAACCAGTATCAGAACTATCAGGAGTACGCCATGTACGCGCCGAGCGCGACGGTGTCCGCCGACTGGGCGTACCCGGAGACTCCGGCGACGTACAAGTCCGGGCCGTCGATAGCCGAGGTCACCTACAAGACCACCGAGGTCACGTACAAGACCGGCAGCGAGCCGACCCCGTCGGTCTACAGGAACGGCGAGCTGGTGACGTTCAAGAGCGAGCCCGGCGCCTTCGGCGCCCGCGGTCAGGATCAGCTGACGACGTACAGGCCGCCGGCCGACGGATTCCCGACGGTGAAGGATCATCATCCGCAGCATCACGCCGATTACAAGGACGAGGCCATGATGGGTTACAAGTGCGCCAACTCCACGCCCACCACCCAAGCGCCCGGACAGGATTATTACGTCGGTTACGGCCTCGCGGGGGTCAACAATGCCGCCGGCCACGTCAACATCACCATGCAATCTATGCAGGAGCAACCGGGGGGTAACAGCAGCCCTGTGACCAACGTCAGTTCGCCGCACAGCGGATGTCAGACTCCTGCCGTGGATCACGGTAGGTCGCGGTCTACGCCGCGGTATCTTCGATTCCGCTGCGTATTCTTAATTTGAACAAAATTGTCTTATCTTCTCCCTCCCCTCCAAAGTATCTTCTCTACAAAAGTAATGATATCATTAAATGGCACCAACTAAACTGAATATTTACGCAAACTAGGTACTTTATTATTTTTTATATTAGAATGTTATGTCCAAACGATATCAAGCATAAAATTTTATCGGAAGAAATAAAGGAAATAATATTAATATTAATCTTAGATTCCGCTGCGTACTCTTAATTGTCATGTTGCAAATTGCTAAAAATGAGTTACAATCATTTTTAGAACGGCTTCTTTGCATCACACCGTGCCGCGGATCACGGTGAGTCAAGGTCTACGCAGTATCTTCGATTCCGCTGCGTATTCTTAAAATTGTCACGTTACAAATTGTTAAAAATGAGTTGCAAACATTTTTAGAACAGCTTCCCCGTGTGGAAAATCAAAGTCATCGGTGTCCAGTGATTGTCTAATTATTTGGAGTTTTAACTCATCACTGTCTAGTTTTATTACCTCATAATCGGGTATAAATGTAACGCTTTTTTATGCGGGTGGTAATCCCAGATAGCACAAAGATGAACATAAGTTCATAGAGAATTCATTTTAAAGAAAACATACAGAATTAGAAAAATGAATATCTGAAGAATTCTTGAAGAATTAGTCTCAATCAGTTCGTCTTGAAGTATTCTTCTGAAGTTCATTATAATGAATACTTCGCGATTCAGTACTGTGAATACTTTAAGAATTTATGAGGAATTATTTGTCATGCGCGAGTATCCGCTAACCGCCATCCGGACGTTCTTGTGCAGCGTGTTACCACGTGCAATATTTTGTGTGCGTAACGTTATGTGCAATTAATTTTGTGCAATAGTTCTATTGTGTAAAAGAAAGAATCGAACGACGAGAACCGAAACGGAAGAATCATCCGATTGTCAACGAGCTTCGATTGAGAGTATCTCACTGTTGAGTGAGAAATTATAATAATGGTGTAATGTTACTGCATATTAGATGTGTACATACATTGGGTAAATATTTTGTAATCCTCTTTGTTCTAACACTATTCCTTGAATCCCCTTGAATTCATAAAGTTTACATTTATTGAATTCGAGATGAATACTTTAAGAAGTTGTCAGGAAAACGATTTATGGTGCATGTAACTTCCTCTGTCACTCTTATTGTATTCTTCTTTGAATTCCTAAAGAATTACAATTTAGAAAAAGAAAACTTAAAGAATGCTTTGTGAATTCAGTGTGCTATCTGGAATGTTGCAAGCGTTATCTAATTATTAGGTAAGAAAGAAGTGTCGCTGCTATACAAAATTTCTAGATAGTGTCTAGAATTTCTAAGTACTGTTGTCCCACAACTAGATAACTAAAATAGCTCGTGGCTGACTAGTAAAAATTACTTAAAAAGAAGATGAAATTAATGGTCTTGAATATCTCTTAGATATTCCAGATTACAACCCCGAGTGGGAGAGGCAGGGACTTAAATTTTTCGTCATTTACCTGCACTTGTAATTCCAGATTATTGCTGTAAATTATGTCATTATCTGTATATTCTATAGATTATTAAATATTTTTATTACCTCCTTTGTGACCATTGAAAAAAATCCGTGGCGTGTATCGGGATTCGATCCTGAAATCCTTGTGTTACGAACCATGTAAGTTTCTCACTAGATCAAAGTCAATTTGATGTATATGGTAATACAGAAAGATTAAGCTCTTTCGTTCAATGTCATGGTGAACTCCAAGTAACTATCTTAGTCGCTGGTAAAAATTTTTAAGTATAATATACATAGAAAAATCAGGCAAGTAGTGCTAACACCATTAGGTAGGTATTCAATGCCATAGTAAACTCCAAATAACTATTATATCTAGTCACTGGTTAACTATTTAAAGTATAATATATATTGAAAAATCTGGCAAATGACAATAACACTACTAGCTAGATATTTAATATAGTCTACACTAGCTAGCCAGTAGCATTTGGCTCACAAGGGGAAGATATAGGTCCGTAGGCTGGGATTTGGCTGAATTTTAAATATGTTGTTCTACATCCCCGCCAATAATAAACGGTGCAGTAACTCTTGCCAATGGGCATTGGTTTAGAAATTAAATTATTTTTAAATGAGCCACTTGTGTAATCTACCGAATCGATAACACGTTTTTTAATTTAGCCGCGTGGACGGGCCAGTAAGTCGAGCGACTAGAATGCTGGAGGTCTCGAGTTCGAGACCGGCTTTTTTCCATTTATTTTATGGTAATATATTTTTTGTATGTATATTAATGCTATATTAATCCTAAACAAATTTTTATTTCACGAATTTGCATATTATCTGCGGAAAGGGTCATTTTTATTTAACGAAACAGAATATAATTCACCAAGAAAAAGTTTTATTAATATTATATGACATGACACATAATATGTATTCCAAATAACGTTGCTTCGAATTGCGAAGACATGTCTGTCATGGAGTGTGTCATATTAATAAAACTTATTTCTTAGTAAATTATATTATGTTTTATTAAACAAAAATGACCCTTTCCACAGATAATATGCAAATTCGTGAAATAAAAATTTGTTTAGGATTAATATAGCATTAATATACACAAAAAATATATTTACATAAAATAAATGGAAAAAAGCCGGTCTCGAACTCGAGACCTCCAGCATTCTAGTCGCTCGACTTACTAGCCCGACCACGTGTCTAAATTTAAAAAATTAACGTGTTATCGACTCGGTAGATTACGCACGTGGCTCATTTTAAAATAATTTAATTTCTAAACTAATGTCCATTGGCAAGACTTACTGCACCGTTTATTATTGGGGAGGATGTAGAACAACATATTTAAAATTTAGCCAAATCCCAGCGTAAGGACCAATATCTTCCCCTTGTCAGTTTAATGAAGCAGTTTTCCACACGGGTCTTTGCATCATTACGCCGCGGATCACGGCGAGTCGCGGTCTACGCGGTATCTTCGATTCCGCTGCGTATTCTTAATTGTCGTGTTGCAAATCGCGAAAAAAATGTTTTAAAAGCGCGAGCGTAACATAATCCGCGAGACCGCAGACGCGAATTTTCTTCGAACGACGCGAACACATTCAACGAAACGAAATCCGTGCATGCGACCTCTGAGTTCTCTTTGCATCGCGAGGACAACGTTGACGGGTTCCACGACGTCATTCAGGGGCCATCTGGAAAATTGGAGACAGTTTACGACCTTTCAGGCGCCGTGTCCTGCAAAGTGAAACCACGAAACGAATATTCTTTCGAGCCTCCCATCCTTCCTCTATAACCAAAAATTTCATGGGCCAGGTCAAAGTTCGTCAGATGCGTAAAAGAGGTGAATTTTAGAAAGACAGAATTTTCACTCGATTGGATCTACTCAGCTGAAGATTATTCTCGTGTCTGATTACTTTCACATTTTAAATTGTACACCAGGGATCACTGACGCCTTCCCGCATAAATTTCTGCACGTATCAGCACATTTGTACATTTTGAATATAGAGGAAAGTCCCCTATTTTGAGACAAGTTCCTAATACGAGATAGCGGGGTTTCCGTTAAATTAACAAGCATCATCTATGGGTTCCACCATGAATTTATTGCTTTTGAAGTGAAATCTGTTTAGTGGAAAATTCATTGTTAGATCGTGTAATCGTCGCGGGAAAAGATTTGCGATTGAATTTGGACGTTGAAAACCTGCTATCTTACAGAAGCCTATCTCATAATAGAGGACTTCCTCTACATACGTGGAAAATATATGCGTGTTCTATCTGTACCTAAATTCATACTGGAAGGCATCGGTGATTCCTAGTGTACAAACGTATCTGACATCGCTTCAGTTTAATTTAATTTAAAAAAAGTTACGCGTACGATGCTCAATAAATCTGCAACGTGTTAATACGCAATATCGTAAAGTATAACATGGCAAAGTGTATTTAGATAATTTGTATTAGTAAATAGTTAGAAACGAGATATTTAGATAATTTTACTTGGCCGTAATAGCGTGTTAAAAAGATTAATATCACTGGAATACACAGGATGGGTGGATACAGCGCACGTCGTCGCCGCTGACAGAAACGATTAACCGAGGTGACGTCCCCGTCACGCCTATACGACGCTTGGGGCTCGTAACTTGTACCTTGTAACTTAACACGTGTAACCCGCCGTAAGACTGAGGCGTCGAGGCGTCGTTTCCTTTTCTCGCGAGATTAATTTAGTCAGCGTCCGCGCCCGACAACGCGATAATAAAACGCTCGTTAACACCGGCGTTTTATGGCGACGGTAAAAGAAAAACACTTGACAGTTTTCTGTACGCGAGGCAAATGTGGATCGCACTTACCGGACATGCGATACCTTGTTTGCAATTGTACTACAAATTTCCTTGGAATTTTCTGCGTCGATACCGTTGCATTTTGGTAAAAAATCCTTTCTTTGATAAGCGAAGGAGGTTTGACAACTAGACAGATGCATCGTGAAAATAATCACTAAACGCGCGTAAACTGCAACGTTTTGCCTCCGCAGCGTAGAGCCTCGTGCTAGCAAGTGCGCGCTCGAATCGTTTATCGCCTAAATATTTACCGGAGGTATAAACGAGGTGACTTAATTCGGCCTTAACCCTACGGAGAATGGAGCACCGTAATATTTACGGTGTTAACTTACCACCAGCATGTCGAGATCCGCAAATTGTTCATTTAAACCCTCGTAAGTCTCCGGTCCAATCTTAAATTCCTTTCGATATTATCTGATCTGATGGTTTTAAGGCCGGTGTCCACGATTCTAGAACTTGGTCCAAGTTCTAGTTTCGAGAAATGTAGCCAAGCTTTTATGGAATAGCTGCAAGTTGATTATTGGCTACACATTTCTCGGGACTAGAACTTGGGCCAAGTTCTAGCATCGTGGCCACAGGCCCACAAATCTCGAATAAAGTCGCGGTATCTTTTAAAGAAGGCTACATGCTTTTTAAGAAGGAGAATGAGACTTAAAGAGCTGCTTTTCAAAAGGAAAGAAATTGTCAGATTATGTATTATAGAATATTCACTTGGGCAAAATTAAAATTTAATGTATCCGGGAAAAATTTCAAGCGTATTTTATTTATGTGAAATTTGACACCATGCGTACAACGTGTCCAAATTTGGGTAAAGTAATCGGCGAAAAATGTTCATGGAGCACCGTAATATTTACGGTGTTAATTTACCAACAGCATGTCGAGATCCGCAAATTGTTCATTTAAACCCTCGTAGTCTTCGGTCCAATCTTAAATTCCTTTCGATATTATCTGATCTGATGGTTTTAAGGCCGGTGTCCACGATTCTAGAACTTGGTCCAAATTCTAGTTTCGATAAATGTAGCCAAGCTTTTATGAAATAGCTGCAAGATGATTGGCTACACATTTCTAGGGACTAGAACTTGGGCCAAGTTCTAGCATCGTGGCCACAGGTCCACAAATCTCGAATAAAGTCGAGGTATCTTTTAAAGAAGGCTACATGCTTTTTAAGAAGGAGAATGAGACTTAAAGAGCTGCTTTTCAGAAGGAAAGAAATGGTCAGATTATGTATTATAGAACATTCACTTGGGGAAAATTAAAATTTAATGTATCCGGGAAAAATTCCAAGCGTATTTATATAAAATGTGACACCATGCGTACAACGTGTCTAAATTTGGGTAGAGTAACCGAGGAAAAATGTTCATCGGCGTGTTTCTATGGTTCTACAAATATCCCGGTTTGCGAACGGTCTAATCTCGATTAAGGAGGGTAAGTCTCTTCCCTCTGTATCTCGATACAACGCGGGATCGACAGGAGATAAACGCCGCCACCCACGCTTCCTCCACCGCAGACTTCTTCTTCTTGTTCTTCTTCTTCTTGTTCGTCTTCCGTCAGTCACAGTGAAGTGTAAACGAGATCGATCCACACAGACGCCACGTAGGCACGCCTTTTTACTCTTCTTACACGCCGCGCTCTCCGTATATTTCTGGAGCGCGATCTCTTTACTCCGAACTATGGCCTGTTGTGCCGGTATTCGGTTAGAAGCGACTTCTGTGCTCCTTGAAAGCCAGCATCCTCGCGCGGGCGCTGCCGAAGAAGAGAAAAAGAAAAAGAAGAGGGAGAAATGGCGCGAGCACAGTCGAGAGCATTTGGATCCATGGAGAGGGATTTTGACTGGCAGCAGCGCCATCGGACCACCCACGTGGACGACAGGCGTCGCGACGTCGAACCGAGAGAACTCGTCGATCTTCGAGGAACGACGTGACGCAATTTCAAAATTTTCAAGCCTCGAGAAAGTCAAGATATTGGAAGGGATACCCAAAGGATTAAAAATTGACTCGACGCGAATATTTCGAAAAGCGAGAAAGAAAAAAGGAATAGAGAGAGACTTTTTGAAGGGGGGATCAAGCAAATCTGTGATCCACTTGTGGAAAGTAAAAATTAATATGTGAAAGAGGAAGGAAAAAACAGAACAAAATCGAGACACGAGTGAAGTGGCCGCTCGAGAGGAATCTACTTGAGAACTGGCGGAGCTTTAGATTTATGGATGCCTGCCCAAGTACCAATTTCTATCGTGAGATCTTTCGTTTCTTTCCACCGTTACTCTTACACCGTGTACAGCCTTAAGTAGCAAAACTGGACGAAATCTTATCCGGATACGTAGAATGTTTGAAGATCGGGATCAAATATTTTTGGAGTTCACACTTTACGTTAAAATGAAG